GGTGCGGAATATGGGGGCCCAATAGGCTGACCCCTCCCAAACTGACCTCTACCCCTAGCCGGGGCACCTCTGAACTCTCCAGAAAATCTATCCCTCTTGTCCTGCTGCATCTGCTCCCTACCCCTCAGACGGTAGCGCTCAATCCTCCGAGCGATTTATACCACTAGCTGATAAGGAGTCCCCATCTCCACCTCTCGGGCCATGTTGGCCCTAATGCCAGAATGCAACCCTGCAACAAACCTCCGCACCCTCTCTGCGTCAGTAGGAAGTATCATCAGTGCATGGCGGGATAACTCAGAAAACCTCGCCTCATAGTCGGTCACGGACATCTAACCCTGCTCTAGCTACTGAAACTGGTACCGTAGCTCTTCCCTCTCAAAGGGTGGGATATACCTATCCAGGAATAACTGTGGTGAATTGACCCCAAGTGATGGGAGGAGAACCTGCTGGTCTGCCAAGAACATACGACTGCCACCATCTACAGGCCCTGCTCTCCAGCTGGAAAGTAATGAAGTCAACCCCATGCGACTCCAATATCCTCATGTTGTGCAGTCTGTCCCTGCACCTATCAATGAAGTCCTGGGCATCCTCATGACGCTCCACCCGAAGACAGGAGGGTGTAACCTTGTCCATCTGTCTAATAACTTCTGCGAATCTCCATCTGCAGCTGGTCTGGGCTCGGGCACTGCTGCTGCAACTGGCTGAGCCCCACCCGTGGATAGTGCACCCGGAGTCTGATACACTGTAGCTGCATGACTAGGAGCCTGAGCAGTAGGGGTCTGTGCTCCCCCTCCTGCTTGTGATGTAGCTGGATCCGCCGGAAATAAACTAGCCTGAGTCATGGTGTCCATGAACCGCAGCATGCGGCCCATGACCTCCTGGAAACCCGGTGCTGTCATGAAGTCTGCCGAGGTAGGCTCAGCTGAGGGCACCTCGCCCTGCTCCTCAATGATAGGATCTCCCGCAGGATCCGCTGGTGGTGCTACTGGAACAACTCTAGGACGCCCTCGTCCCCTACCTTGGGCCGGTGCCCTCCCCCAGCCTCTGCCTCGGCCTCTAGCAACAGGGGGAGCAGCTCCTCCCGGGTCTGGAACATCGGCCGTGTGTGTCGTCACCATCTGTGAGAGAATAGAAGAGGGAAATTTAGTATACTAACCACTGCACGATAGGAAATGAAGAAAGAGTAGTTTCCTAACATCCTATAGCCTCTCGAAGATAAATATAGACGTCTCTGTACCAATCCGCAAGACTCTACTAGGTTTGCCCATTACTTGTGAGACCTACGTGAACCTAGTGCTCTAATACCATGTTGTCACGACCCAATTTCACTACAGGTCGTGATGGCGCCCAACGCCGTTGTCAGGCAAGCCAACGCGGAAATATTAGTGAGTTCAAATTTTACTTTACTAAAACAGTTACAGCAATTCCTTAATTTGAATTTAAAACAGGTGAAAATTAGCAACGTAAGTTAATAATTATACAATCCCAAAAGAATAGTCTACCAATGTGTGTGCCAAGACCTAGTGTGACAAGTATGTGGGCATCTAGTAGAATACACAAAAGAGTAAATCTATCCTACTGTCTGAACTAGAATAGACAGCCAAAAGTACAGAGAGACTCCAACACACGGCTGAACGGCATAGGAAAGGAGCAGCTCACCGTGGAATCTCAGACTACGATCAAGTATGCGCACCGGACTGGTAACCAGCTGTACCTGCCTCAGATCCTGTACAATTAAGTACAGAAGCGTAGTATGAGTACATAAACAATATGTACCCAGTAAGTATCCTGTCTAATCTCGAAGAAGTAGAGACGAGAGGTCGACTTGACACTTACTAGGGTCAATTAATATATAGGAAAGTGTTATACTAAGCATGGATGTCACAAATAAATAACAATTTATAGCAGGAAGTGATAGGTAATTCCTTAGATAATATCAGAGTTAGCCATTTATATTTCAGGGCATTTAACAGAAAAATACCGAGCAAGAAGCATGCGCAAATAGTGCCGAGGTCGTACGACCCGATCCAACATAAAAATGAAGTGTGCACTACTGGAGGGTCGAACGACGCGAACCATAGATGCATCTATTACCCCGCTCGCGAATCATTCGTGCGACGCGGTGAATATAATTAAGCACAACAACAGTCAAACAGGGATATATCAGGGAAAAAATTATTCAAAGAATGTCAATTTCTCTTTAAAAGGCCAAGGAAGTGAAGTTCCTCTTAATAAATTCATTTAACACATTCAACATGATTTAAGCAATCCAAATTGGTCATAAAGTTACAAGAATATCACATAAAATATGATTTTGGGTCCTAGACTACCCGGACTTAAGCATATTAGTGGCTACGATGGACTCTCGTCACCTAGTGCGTACATAGCCCCCACATTTAGTGGCAAATTATTCAATTATTTCACCTATGGGGACAATTTCCTCTTACAAGGTTAGAAAGGAGACTCACCTCGCTCCAAAGCATACTTCCAATATCAAGAACGTGCTCAAACCCTCAATTTGGAGCCGAACGATCCAAAACTAATTAAACGGGGTAGGAAGTAGTAAATACAAGCTCAAGATTTGGCATTTTAACTACTAAAGTAATTTTCCTACCTTAAACACAAGTTTCCTAAAATCCAACCCCGGGCCCACGTGTCCGGATTCCGATATTTTTCGAAAAAAGTTGTTCTCTATAACCTAAGGATCAATAATATATGATTTCCACTTCATTCCATAACAAATTTCATGGTAAAATCTAATTTTTATCAAAACCCTAGGTTTTGCTCTAATCCCATGATATTTCCCTAATCTTTGTGTGTTAATCTACCCAAGGCTCAAGTATTAAACTCAAAATAAGTAGGATGAACTTACCTCAAGATGCTAGGTGGAATTTCTCTCTTTGGAAGCTCCTAAATCGCCCAAACAATGGTGGAAATGTGTCAAAAATGGCTAACACCCGCAATAAATGAAGGTCACTGCTTCAGTGATTTCCGCATCTGCGGTCCTGGGCCGCACCTGCGCCCACCGCATTTGCGGAAAGGTGTCCGCTTCTATAGAATTTCAACTGGGCCGCTTCTGCGAGGGACAAGCCGCTTTTGCGGAAAACGAGCCGCTTCTGCAGTTTTGGGCTTGGCCTGGCTTGGCCGCTTCTGCGAGCGAATGATCGCTTCTGCGGTCTCGCACCTGTGGTTGGCCAACCGCAGGATCGGTTATGACAGAAGACTGGAGCTTCAGCTCCTTTCCAAATTTTCCAACTTCACTCGAGCCTCGTCCGATTGACGCTCGGGCCCCCCGCCCGAGCATACCGACAAGTTTGAAATCATAAAATGGACTCGCTCGAACCCTCGGAACGCCCAAAACAACGCTAAATCTAAGAATCACCCCCTAAAACCAATTGAATCAAACTTATGAACTTCAAGTTCTTCAATTACTTCAAATGCGACGAAACACCCTTACGCTACTCGGATTGACACCAAATTTTGCGTGCAAGTCTTAAATGGCCATACGAAACTATTCCCGATCTCGGAAATCCGTTCTGACCTCGATAACACAAAAACCTGCTCCAAACCAAATATTTAAGAACTTCAAAATCCTTAAGGAATCAAATTTCACTATTAGGCACCAAAACGCTCTCGGGTCATCCAAAACCCGATCCGGACATACGCCCAAGTCCGAAATCATCATACGAACCTGTTGGAATCATCAAATCCGGATTTCGAGGTCGTTTGCTCAAAACGTTGACCGAAGTCAAACTTGGCCTTTTAGGCCAACCTTAAGGAACCAAGTGTTTCGATTTCAACCCAAACTCTTCTAATTCGCGAACCAACCATCCCCGCAAGTTATAAATCAGTAAAAGTAAGTACAGGAGGTCTTATTTAGGGGAATGGGGTTCTAAACAGCAAAATGACCAGTCAGGTCGTTACACGACATTTCATCTATTTTTTTACGCATAGCTTCCATGTCTTTTTGGGAAACTGATGCACCGACAAATAATGTTGCTGGACGACTAGAGGATAGTTGTACTCCACTTCGGTAGACTCAGCCTTTATTTATTTTCACGAGAAAAAAAGAAAAGAAAGCAAAAGTAATGAGAAAACAAACACACAACTTTCAAACTAATACCAATGATAATTACATAATATCTATACCTTTATTCACGCTACCTGCCGCCTGTGTCCATATTGCAGTCATTATCCTCCGGGGCCGGTTGAGTTCCTTCAGGTTGAGTTTATAGCAGTACATCAAGATCATTATGATACTTGTCTTGAAATAAAAATATTATATTTTATATAAATAAAATAATCCTAAAAAGTAATATAGTGTTGGAGTTGGGAACACACAAATATCTCTGAAGCACGCGAGTTGACCCATCATTCTCTTGTGTCGTCCTTGTACTTTTTCTTATGGGTCTCTGCAAAGACCTCAGCATGAGTCACATCTCCCCCACCTTACTTTTCCTTAAAATTAAAAAGTAACTAGAGGTATATATGTGTGTGTGTGTGTGTGTGTGTGTGTATATATATATATATATATACACACACACACACATACACACACACACTTGTAAAACTACGAATATCTTATAATGAAATTACCAATCTCAAACGATAGGGTGCAAAACTAATAGTACCTCAAGTATGCAACGCTCCACCCTTAGTAAAAGCTCTGTTTAACTTTGCTTATTCACTCTTCTTCTTCCACTCAACATTGTTCCACTTCTTCAATAGCTGATTCCAGACATCTACAAGTATCCACTCAGGCTTGGTACCACATCTCCTAGCAACATGATGTGAATATGTTATCCGCTTTTGTGCTCTCTTCTCGAAGTTAACATTCATATGATTTTCAAATGTAGGCTACCATATGCACCTAACCTACAAAAAGGAATAAATAATATTAGACGAATGAGGATAAGTATTAATAAAATTTAATTTATTTTTACCTTAAATTATTTCCACATATTCATTTTGATCTGGTACTGTATCTGATTTCAGAAATTCTACGGCTCATGAAAATATGGCTTCATAGCTTCCATCACCATATGTGTGGCCTGATAAGATGGCCAAAACCTGCATTAAACTTAACATATAAAATAAATATTCATTAAATTAATTACATGCAAAATTTAATTGAAATATTTTAAAAGAAAATTGAAGGAAAACTCACTCGTCGCCACGGGCAACGATAATCAGCCGATGAAGAGAATCATACTCTACAGTCCCTCCAGTACACTGTCTCACGGTACCGGCAACTGTGGAAGTACTGCTAGATGGGGATGCAGCTGCGTTGGCGCCTCCAATATCCAAGTTATATATACTTGGAGTGGATGATGATGGAGATGATAATTGAGTGGGAGATGTACGGGGCACAAAAGATGAACCATCATGCTGGCTACTATAGCTCGGGGATGCAATCGGTGGTGAGCCACCAAACTGACTAGCAGGATCGCGCAAGGAAGAAGCTGGCAAATGAGGCATATGCATAAAATTAATGGTGGTCGAAGCTGAGCCACTATGAGAAGGCATGGAGTAATACTGAAGCGAGCTAGACGGGGGAGGCACTTTGAAAAAGTCAGATGGCTGTGAAGTTGGCATGGAAGGACGAAGAGGCATAGGAGGAGGGCTCATATTTGGTATAGGTGGAGGAAGTTGACTTGTAGTCGGCAAAATGTATTTTTTCTTCTTAGATTGTTTTATTTCTTTAACGCGAGAAGCCATATGTGTAATGAATATGAAATATTTACATATAAAATAATTTAATATAACAAATATAAACATAAAGTATACATAATAAATATAACAATATAATCATAAAAAAAATCAAAATGTCATTAATAATATAAAGTAATATTATTGCATATTACAATAATTTAAGGAATAACATATAAATATTGAACAAATCATAAAACACACAAATAGCTTAATCCTCATCGCTTGTTTCATTTTCATTTTCTTCATTATAAAATTCTTCATCACTTGTTTCATTTTCATCATATAATTCTTCATCCTCGCTTGTCTCATGTTCATCAATTGAATCTTCGTCCTTATTTTCCATTGATGTTGCCTCAGCATGCTCAGTTAAAATTGATCTTAGGACAGAAGGATCGAATTCTTCGTATAGGCCGTTGCTATCTTGCAATTCATCTGCTAATTCATCATCCACCACTTCAATACTTGAAATGTTATTTTGGTACGCTATATCCAATGAATCTTCGACTTCAACTCTACCCACTAGCTTAGTTTTTATCACACACAATGCAGACTTATTCTTGCACAAAGGATAAGGTGCATAATACACTTATTTCACATTTTGTGCAATAATAAATGGGTCATAGAGTCTATACCTCCCCTTGTGCTTTATTTCAATAATTTTGTACCAAGGATGCACCTTCGTACCTCTATTTGGTGTTGGATCATGCCACTTACACCGAAAGAGTACTAATTTTTTCTTCAGTCAACCAACTTTATACTCAAGTTCTATGATCTCTTGAAGCACACCATAAAAATCAATATCCCCAGCGGCTTTCACACACACACCACTATTATTTATTTTCTTACCCTTAGACCATTCTTTTGTATGAAACTTGTACCCATTTATACAATACTAGACATCTTTCTGACTCTAGGATTAGGTCCCCAAGCTATATCTTGCAAAAATTGGTCATTTACGCCAATTTAGAATTATTTAAATACATATAACTTACTATAATTTACCGTTAATAAGACCATGTTAAATATTAAGTAATACTTGAAAACTTAGGATAAATAAGTTCTTGCCCATATGTACACCCACAAACCAACTGTCCGACAAAATAAAAAATATCATTAGTTAAAATGTTCCATCACGTCAAAAAAATCAAGAGGGAAAATTTTCACCAACTTGTTTAAAGTTACGCGAATGTTACTCTCCATGCAAGTTAGGTTCTCCATGCTCAAGGTGCTAGAACGCAACTCCTTGAAAAATAAGCGTACCTCTGTGATAGGCTTCCATATTCTATCAGGCAATGCATTAAATGCAATATGCATCAAAGATTTCATGAAAATATGACAATCGTGGCTTTTCATAGTCGTCAACTTTTCTTCTTTCATATCAACATGCCTAAACAGGTTTAATGCATTGTAACGACCCGACCATTCGTTTCGAGAGTTGTAGCCCTGTTCTCTCCATTTACTGCTCAATTTGTACTTTATAGCTGTTATGTGACTTACCAAGGTTAGTCGGTTCGGGTCCGGAAGGATTTCAAAATGAATTGAGACACTTAGTCTCAAAGTTGGAAGCTTAAGTTGAAATGGTTGACCGGATGTTGACTTATGTGTGAATGACTCTAGAATGGAGTTTCGATGGTTCCGTTAATTCCGTTGGGTGATTTTGGACTTAGAGCGTGTCCGGATTGTGATTTGGAGGTTCGTAGTTGAATTAGGCTTGAAATGGCGAAAGTTAGATTTTTGGAAAGTTTGACCCAGAGTGGATTTTTTGATATCGGGGTTATATTGGAGTTCCGGAAGTTGGAGTAGGTCCGTAGATCATTTGTGACTTGTGTGCAAGAGATCAATCGGACGTGATTTGATAGGTTTCAATGTCGTTTGTAAAGGTTGAAATTCCTTAGTTTCAATAGGCTTGAATTGGGGCAATTCATGTTTTTGAAGTTGTTTGAGGTGATTTAAAGGCTCGACTAAGTTTGTATGATGTTTTGGGACTTGATGGTATGTCTTGAGGTCCTGGGGGCCTCGGGTGAGTTTCGAATGGTTAACGGATCAATTTTGGACTTGGTATTACAGTTGAAGACTGCTGGTTTTCTGTTACTGGTTTCCTTGTACGCGATCGCATGAGAGGGTTCGCAATCATGTAGGTCAATTGGGGGCAGCTGGGAAATTTGTTCTATGCGATCGCCAGTTGAGGCACGCGATTGCGCAAGCTGGCGAGTCTGGGCATCACGGACGCGTGGTAAGGTTCGCGTTCGCATATGGGAAGTGAAGAAACAGTGGGGTGCACGCTTTGTTCTTTGCGGTCGCATAAGGAAGAATGCGATCGCGTAGGTTGGAGGAAGAAGAGGTACGCGTTCGCGTGGAGGTCTCTCCGTTCGCGTAAGGCAAGTTTGAGGGGCAGATTGGTTTGTCCTACGCGAACGCGGGAGGATGGCCGCGTTCGCGATGAAGCATAACTGGGCAGCAGATTTAAATGTTCAAAATGAGGGTTTGAGTTTATAACATAAATTGATTTGGGAGCTCGGTAGGAGGCAATTTTTGGAGAGATTTTCACGTGGGTGTTTGGGGTAAGTGATTCATACCTAGTTTTGGTTAATTTCCATGATTATGCCTTTGATTTCATCATTAAATTAGTGGTTTGGGGTGAAAAATTTGGTAAAATGGAGAAAAGTTCTTAGGCTATATTTTGAGGTTTTGATCGAGATTTTGGTATCAGATTTGAGTAATTTTGTTATAGGTGGACTCGTGGTTGAATGAGCATCTTGTGACTTTTACCCGATTCCGAGACGTGGGCCAGAGGGGTCAACTTTTGAGTTGACTTTTTAACTTTTGATTTAAAGCTTAGTATTTTCTTATGGAATTGATTCCTTTAGCTCGTGTTGATTGTATCGAATTGTTTGTGGCTAGATTCGAGGCATTCAGAGTCCGTTTTGCGAGTCAAAGGTGTGTTGGAGTAGAGATTTGCTCGGATTGAGGTAAGTAATAGTTCAGATTTGCTGATTTCATGATTACTGAGAGCCGGAGAGACTGGAGAGGTTGATGACTGAGTGAGGCCGATGGCCTGATTGTGAGGATATTTATGGGATCGGGCTGCACGCTGCAACATGTTTCATTATTTTATGCAATGATTGGCTTGTTATAGCGCTTGGGCTGAAGTAGCCCCTCAGGAGTCTTTACATACCCCCAGTGAGCGCAAGTACCTACTGAGTGCAAGTGCCGAGTACTGATGTGATTGTGAGGTTTGAGTGAAAGGGGGGACTGAGTGATTGTTGCTCTAAAAGGATGCATTTGCTTTCATTATTGTTTCACTTAACTGTCATATATCACTGTCATGAAATTTCTGAGAGGTATTACATTCTTTTTCACTTGAACTTGACATGAATTAACTGATTTGACTTAAATTACCGAACTTGAAAGCATGCCTACCTTCCATGTTGACATTACTGTAATTGAACTATAACTGTGAAGCTCGTCAATACTTTCAGTTCTTTATTTAGTCTTATTACTTACTGAGTTGGTTGTACTCACGTTACACCCTGCACTTAGTGTACAATCCAGGTATTTTCGGACACAGTGGGTGTTGATTTCCTTTGCACAGTTGATCGTTTGGAGATTCCAAGGTAGTTGCTGATGTCGCCCAAACTCACACCACTAATTGAGATTGTGAGGCGGTCGATACAATTATAAATACCCATCGCGAGTCGGGGTCGATTCCACAGAGAGCTTTATGTGGGATTAGGTATATGCCTAGTCTAGTGTATGACGTGCCCAAGATTGCACTTCCACATATTCAGTTGTTTCTTTTCCACTCCTAGTTTGTATGCTAATGCTTGTAATTTAAAAGCTAAGAGACAATGTTTTTGGTATTGTTTTTTTTTCCAGGTTAAAAAAGATCTAGGGTTGTAACTTCCGCCTAGATGGTTACCTAACGGATTGAGAACTTTAGGGCATGTTTGGTTGATTGGGATACAATATAGCAATCACACGCGATTACTCACTCCATACCTCTTGGTAGTTTGAGTGATTTTGCCCAATTTGGCTTTCTTAAGTCCAAATGGGTATTTCATGAAACAAGTGATAGATGCTCAAGTCGGGTCTTACTATCTCTAGATTCAAACCTTTAATCGGGGTTATCAATTTCTTGAGTTCACCCCAATTTCTTGTTAGCCTAAGTTTTCCCAGACTTAGTCTTTCTTTCTCAAGTAGAGACTAAGTCAATAAGGCATGAATCAATGTTTTCAACCATCAACTCTCAAATTCAAGCAAGAACTAGGCTAAATATCATAAACCCAATCATAAATTAGCCCTAAATCATTCACTCATCAAGTACCATACTAGGGTTGGGTCACAACCCTATCTAAAGGTTTAGCTACTCATGAAAAACGAAGAAATTAAAGAAGAAACTTAGATAAAATTCATAATAGATGGTTAAGGAAAGAAAATCTAATGTTAAAATGTTAAACTATTACAAAGTTACCCAATAAATAAAGAAAAATGGCTATCTATTCTCAGGTGCACCAAAACTTAACCTAAAAATGACAATGTTTACCGTGAAAATGGTAATAACAATTAAATTTGTTGATGGGACTCTAATAATACGTGATCTATTTTTATGCTAGTTGTGAAGCAGTTGATGCTAGGTGTGTGAAGTATAAGGACGAAACGCGAGCTAAAACAGAGTAATAATCGAACCGATAAGTCAGCCGTTCAGGGCCTCGAGCTAGTCGATTTGGGGCCTCAAGGTTGATTCCCGAGCTCGGGCTCGAGCTATTAGGGGCAGTCGGGGAAGGGTTAACAGTCGTGAAATAATAAAAAGAGGCTCTTTATGGCCAATGATAAGCAATAAATGAAGAACAAATATGAAGATAGTAAATAAGAGCAACAATATCGAGAGAGTGTGTTAGAGAGAAAAGAGAGAGGGAGTTATCATATATTTCGTTTAGAATAGTTGGAGCAACATCAGTCCTCCTACAAAATAGTAAAGTTCCCCTTTATATAGAGGGGGAAATCTT